CTCTTTGGATCAGCATCTGCTGTAACAGAGAAAACCATAAAGAAGGGGTTGGGAAGTTTTGTAAAGTTCCCTTTCCAGGTAGCTCCATCAGATTTCAGGAAGAATCCCAACCTTAATTCGGGGAGTAGTTTTTGTAACAGTATTGAGTCCCCATTTGGAACCCTTCATCCTAGTAACAGAGAGAGTTAAAAAAATAAACATTTGAATATTTCTTAACATTCTGACTGGCAGAAGTGTTTAGCAGAGAAAAGGGAATGAAGCAGTTGATCTTTCATCACAAATGATATCTGATGGCATATTGGGAGCTGACGAGAGGCTTTCATGCTGTAGCCTTTTTCACATGTCTTTCAGTGTGTAACTATTTCCCAAGCGTTAATGAACCACTAAAGTGAAACAGCTATGGCAGCTTGTTCTTGAGCTCTATAATCCCTTCTCTACCATTAAGAATGGCTTCTTGTAAACAGGGATTTATTTTCTTTACATTTTTTCTATAGATACTTGATTTATAACATATCATTCCTCAAATTGTGTTTAAAATACTTGCAAAGCCTTTGTAAACATACTTTTATTGAATTCCATGGGAGAGGAGAGAGCTGATTAAGGTTCACATTAGCCAGGAAAATAAAACAGTAAGAAAGATTTTCCTGAAGGAAATGAGGAATGTACATAAATGCAGTCCATTTTGTGGGACTTCAGCAGGAAAGCTGCATGAGAGAGAACTACTAATTCCATCAGTAAAGAAGTTGTATACATGCTGCAGAATGGTTTCATTGAATCCATCTGGTCTGTTCATAGACAAAACTATGAAGTAAATGGAAAAAAGAAAGTAAATGAAAAGAGCCAAAGAAATAAGCCAGTAGGTTTTAGACCCCGTTGGTGGCAGGGAAGATCCCCCTTCCCAGGCCCGTGTAGCGTATTTTGTGTTTCAAAAGCAGCCGTGCAATGAAGAGAAAAAAAAAAAGCCATTCATGTGAGTGCTAGCCAACAGCAGTCACCCATTTTGCTCAGACACAAGGCTGTCCCTGGGGACGCCAGCAGTTTGGCTTCTACCCTTTGCTCACAACTCTTAGCTGCCCAGTTCATTTCATAAAGCTTGTGTATTGCCCTGTGCAAAGGCTTTCAACTGTGTTTACACAAAATTCAAATGACCCCACTAAGTCCTAGCTTTAAATCCGATTAGCCTAGTTGCTAGGGGTAAACTGGATGTTTGTCCTGCTAGGTATAAAGTTCCGTGTTAATTTCTACAAAACATACCCCATCTTACTGTTTGTTTAGAAAATTTAAAACAGACCTTAAAAAAAAATTTGGAGAGATTATGGTTATAAAAATAACCGTATCTGCATAAATCAGGAGACAGCTGACATACATCTGCATGTATACATACATTTTCCTATATGTATAAATGAGCACTTGCTTCTTTCTCCTCAGCAGCTAGACATGAGGGATAGCAGGGAACTTCACCAGGGGGTGGTTCTGAGTGTTTGAGGTGCAGCTGCCATTTGTCAGCCACATTAGGCCGTAATCTGGAAGATTTTGTTGTTGGCTTTTAAATACTGGAAAGGTTGTTAGATTTCTACACTAAATTCAATGGATAATGGAATTATAGAATGGTTAGGGTTGGAAAGAACCTAAAGATCACAGTATCACAGTATCACAGTATGTTAGAGATTGGAAGGGACCTCAAAAGATCATCTAGTCCAATCCCCCTGCGGGAGCAGGAACACCTAGATAAGGTTACGCAGGAACGTGTCCAGGCGGGTTTTGAATGTCTCCAGAGAGAGACTCCACAACCTCCCTGGGCAGCCTGTTCCAGTGTTCTGTCACCCTCACTGAGAAGAAGTTTCTTCTCAAGTTTAAGTGGAACCTCTTGTGTTCCAGTTTGTACCCATTGCCCCTTGTCCTTTCATTGTTTGCCACTGAGAAGAGCCTGGTTCCATCCTCGTGACACTCTCCCTTTATATATTTATATACACTAATAAGGTCACCCCTCAATCTTCTCTTCTCCAAACTATAGAGACCCAGCTCTCTCAGTCTTTCCTCATAAGGGAGATGCTCCACTCCCTTAATCATCTTAGTTGCCCTGCGCTGGACTCTCTCCAGCAGGTCCCTGTTCTTCTTAAACTGAGGGGCCCAGAACTGGACACAATATTCCAGATGTGGTCTCACCAGATCCCTGCATGAGCACATGAGCAGGGACACCTCACACTAAACCATGTCAACCCAAGGCTCTGTCCAACCTGGCCTTGAGCACCACCAGGGATGGAGCATTCACAACTTCCTTGGGCAACCCATTCCAGTGCCTCACCACCCTCACAGTAAAGGTCTTCTTCCCCATATCTAACCTAAACTTCCCCTGTTTAAATTTGAACCCATTACCACTTGTCCTATCACTTTACATAATGTTTAAGGTAATAGTTTGATTTCTTTAGTTTGAAATGTAAAGCTAAAAAATAACCTTAGGACTATGTTCTTTGACTGGTAGATATCAGGAGTAAATCCAGATTTGGTATCTGCCTTTCTGAAGTACATATAATGATTATCCACTGGCTGGCTAGCTATAGAAGTGTGTTAGCAGATAGTTTTCAGGAATTTGTTGTATTCCTGCATTTTCCATGCACAAAAAATAAAAAATAAAAAAAACAACTACCTTGTCATAATGACTTAACCATCATTTCATAAAACACTAACAGTGCCAGTATGCTGAACTGCTTCCTATGAGATCTCCAGCAGCAGATCCAGCCACAGCTTGAGGCATTTCCCAACAATGTGTCAAATGATCAATCTGTCACAGCACCAATATTTTCCTCTTTAAGGCAGGTCTTTCATCATATGGGAAATGACAGAGTTGCTGAGCTAATCCAAGACAGTTTGGAGTGATGTGTATTAATTCAAGATTGTACCTAAGTGATATCTGTTCCTTCAAAATTCCATTACAGATGCATAACACATGCTTAACTATTTATTTCTTTAAAATCTGGTTTTCATATGTCAATTGTCTTAGTCCTTCCAGAAATGTCCAATGAATCTTTATTAGTTACTTCACCTTCACATGTCCTGGGCAATCACTACTTCTTCATACCCATTTCCTTCTAACAGCAATTCAATACTCTGAAAGAAATGAGTAATGGGAAAGAATATTTCTGCAGCATGCATGATAAATTAAAAGCATCTATTTTTCTCATAAAGATGCAGCAGTTGTAGTACTCCAAGAGGTTTATTCCTTTATCTCCATGTTTCTGTACAGGAAGTTAAACTTCACTTGGAAGCATAGTATTTTCCCCTAACATTTTAGAGCTGCCAGATTTTAACATGAGTGCTTTCGGAAATCTACCTGCTTAGGCATAGACATTTGTCAAGTAAGGTCAACAGCAGCCAAGCACAATGAACTGAGCTCTGCATCTCTGGGTACATCAGTGATATTGCAGCCATAACCTGGAGTCTAACTGAACCGAAAACTTTCAGGTTATGAAGCTGTTGGAAGACTTAGGAGTTTTAAGGCTTGGGACCTGTCTGCAGGAAAAACTCAAGAAGGGTGAAAACCAAAACTGGAGGGCTCAGACAGAAAGAAGGACCAAAGGCTAACCAATTGGAGCAGATGCTGACTGGAGAGAAAAGACTAAAGAAGAATGGGGGAAGGGAAAAGGAGTGCCAAAAAGAGGTGGAGTAAGCTGTTTCAGAATTCAGTATTTATTAGTAGTACTAAATCCAACAACCAGTGCATTCTTCTGAACCGCTTACTGACAATATTTAATGGTTACCTATATATGTATTAAGGGCTCTTGCAACAAAAAGTGAGTGCTACCAAAGCTGTAGCTGCAGTACACCAAAGGCAAGGCCAGGTGCCTCTTGCTGAGGACAGCAGCAGCTTGGGAGCCTTCCTAAAACAGTGAGGCTGGCACATGCACACTCACCAGTGTTGCTTCTAATTGATTATATATCTTCTGATCAGACTCAGAAGCTTCAGGAAGGTAGGAGAATTCACAATACATTTAAGGGACAAACTTCTCCTAGTGACAAAGGAAATTCTACTGCACAAAATTACCAGGTAATGAGGAAACTGGAGATAAAGAATTTTTTTTTAAGGGAGATTCTGGCTAGTGGATGGAACTATAGAAACAAAGAAATGCACAACCTCTGGGATCTCTTGGAAGAGGGGAAGCAGTGATTATCAACAGTACAAATTCAAAACCTCAGAATGTAAGAAAATGCTGGAATTACCACTGGCCACAAAAATTTATTTAATTCCTCTTGTGTATGGAATATGATGATGATGTCTTAGGTGCATGATTACCTCCTATATGGAAAACCCCCTATGGTTTCCAGCTTCCCATTGTTCGTGACATGGATGGTGGTCATTGAAAGGACAGCTATTTGGTTTCTTGTGTCATCTTTGCAAAGTTGTGTTCATTGAGATCTGCTAAAGAAAGTGCATAAAATGAGCTGCTATTATCTAGAACCTTCTGAGCATGTATGAAGAGCTATTTTCTTCACAAAATTTGTGCAAGCTTTAATGGATAAAGCAAAAGGCATGTCCCTGATATGAAGGTCACCTCTCTTCTGAAGTCAAGTCCCCTCTTTAATGTATAAGAACAGTGGGCTCTTCAAAGCCCATTAAATGTTTAAACATACAAAAGCAATGTACCTTACATAATCTTGTCCTCAGAAAAAGATTGTTTTGGAAAATAACAAAATTGTTTTGATCTGAGACAGACATTCAGTATGGAAGATGTCAGCCTGAATGTTTTATATTAGAAGGAATGAACAAAAGCATTTATACAGAAACAGAGGGTCAAGCTGACACCCTAATCTGTAAAGAGCAAATCACCTCCATGTAAGTGCATAACCAGGGAGCAATTTTAGAAGCAGAGCTCCAGTTCACCCAATATTTTGCAGATACTGAAAAAGAGTGAAAGTACAGTATCTATCTGAACCTATTTACTGTTGCATTGTGCTGCTGCAAAGAGCATTAAGGTATCAATTCAATGTTCTGTTATTGGCAGTGATAAAGTCATACGAGTTGTTCCTGAGAGCAAGAGGGAAACGCAGATCCTGAGGGCTGCATTTAACAGGCTTAAGGTGAGTATCATTATTTTCATCTTCCTTTTCTGTTCTTTGTTGAAGACTGTAGTGGATTGACTGACATGCCTTTCATTTTGCACTTCAAGCTATTTTATGTACTGAAAAGCAGCCTTTGCCCATTAAATTCCTAATTTCCCAATAAAATAGCATAGGAATTGGATTCACCATGCCTAACAGTTTTAACAAGAAACACTTATTGCTTTAAAATAATATAGGTACCATACTTACAAATTTTTTTTTTTTGCTCTTCCACTTGCTAGCGTGCATAGTTGCGTGCTTCATTATCTGGCTGATGGTTTTATTTAAAACACTGAGTTAATTCAAGATGTGAACACACATGGGAGTAGGTAAAAGGAAATGGCTTCAGTTTTAGGATCTCTCTGGTAGAATAATTTTCTAGGGGCAGTTAAGAGTGTCTAAAAGTCTCATTAGCAAGCCAGAAACTTTCTTCCCTGTCCTGTTCCTGAAGATATAAATGAAAATCAATGATGCCGCTGTAGCAGCAAGCATAAAAGGACTCTGCAGTGTGCTGCTTTGTTGTCACAACTAATGAAGGCATAGGCAGCCTTTCCAGCATGTGGCCCATTATGTCAGAGGAAGATGGGGAGTACCTGTAATACATGTCTCTGGCTCCTGCAACAGCATGGGAAGGACCACACCGTGCACATGCGCTGCCCTCAGGCACTGGGGGAGGTACAAGCCTCGTTAATAATCTCCAAAATGCAGCCCAGCCAGAGCATATCCAGTGAAGTAACAGCTTGATGACAATGTTGAGCTTGTTCCAGGAGCTGAACACAAGTCCCAGGCTCTGCCTCTTCCCCTGTGTTAGTTCATAGTCTGCTTGAGCCCAATGGGCAACAGTTGACTTTTCCCTGCACCTATGAAGGTAAATGAGTTTGATGGGCAGCCTTCCAGGCGGCATGGGCACAAGCTAAAGTCATTTGACACAGCAAACTCAAGCCATCGTTTGTCTGGCTGAAAGAGTTCTATGGACATAGACAAAGGAACATGGTAACTTTGGCAGTCCTGTGACATGCATTTTTGGGTCACAGAACACCAGTGGTACCAAAGTGCTGGGAGCATGTGCAAAAAAACCTCTGGACTGCTCACTGTCTTCAAGGCCAGCAAAATATTAGGCAGCCTGTGATGTATCTCTGCCTTCATTGTTGAAACCTCATGTAAATGACTGTGTTCTCACTGAGGCAAAGAATGAAGGTGCATATAATTTTCTAGTCTAATAGTTAACATCTGGGATACAAGTAAATCAAATCTCAGTCCGCATATCAAATCAAACAAAATGAAGATCTCAGAAGAGTTCTCACACTGCATGAAAAGCATTCCATCTTTCAGTTATGACAAAGCCTTCTTGCTACCATTTTTTAAGGAAGTGGACAGAGCTACCTGAGGTACCTCAGCCCAGGAGGCAGCTTAATGCAGTCAAGACATGGATGCCTTACTAGGTTTAAGTAGGATGGCTAAGGCTATCTTCTTCACCTCTGTGCTTCTTAATGACATGTTCGATGAGTTCTCCACTCAAGATGCTGTCTTTTGTAAATCCCATTCTCAAGACATCCAACCAGTGCACATTGCATGAGGAATTTTAATGTTCAACAGAGGCAGTGTTGCAATGCTATGTAATACAGGACTTTCTACTGTAATACCCAACTCCCTTAGAGAATATTGTCATATATTTGTTTCTGCAGTACTTACTAAGGGCCTAGCCCTCAACTGTGAATGTTACTGTATGTCCCCAAAAAGCATAATTGTTTTACTCCCAGTTAGGAAAAAAAAAAAATAAAATCTATCCATAAACCCAGGAAATACATGTGGAAGCTGGTATTTGCATTAATTTCTTCTCCCTGATGCTGGAACATAAAGAGGGACCACATGTGCTTTTTCCTTTCTCCTCATATTGCAAGCTCTGCAAAGCAAGAGGGTTACTCACCCTCCTGCAACTGTTTCTTATTACAGAGCTCCCTTAGGCTCCCAGAAAGATATTCCTTCACCCAGTTCCATCAAAGTGGGAGCAGTAGAAACTTGAATAAATAATTGCATGTTATAACAGAGCAGGATAATAAAATTTTGGCAAACTGCATTGGAATCTGACTAGCTCATTAGAAAGTGATTGATTCTGATGAGATAGTAAGCTGAGGAAGTCGAAAGGAAGATTCAAAAAAGAGAGAGGGTACTGACACCCAGTTGCATGAAAATAGGATGGATTTAGCTGCATTTTGGGTCTTGGAGCTCTTCCATTTACATTGGGTCAGAGAGAAAGAGACATCTGGAGGGCTAGCATGGAATGGAAATATTTAACATTAATTTATCATTATCTTAGCCCTCCCCAAAAAAATCTAAAATTATTCACTTATGAAGGATTGGATCAACAATGACACTTATTAGAAGTGTCAAGGACTCACAATACCAGCAACAGTCAGTAGCAGCTGCAAGTCATCAGCTCACATGAAGAACCATGTAGTTAGAGTACTTCAGTCTTTTAAGTCTTCTTGTCAGTCTCCCCAGTCTTTCCCCCATTCCCAGGCTTCCAGAGTTGGAAAATGAACTGACAGAGGACTTATATTCAGCTTTTTAAACATGAGTCTTTAAGTGCAATGAGGATAATGTGCTCAGGAAAAAATAGAACACAGTGACAAAGAAGACAATGACCAAGAAGACCAAAAAAAAAAAAAACCCCAAAACCTAAAACTGCAAAATGAGCTACAGACAAAGCCCAGATATAGTCCTGATGCTGTCGTAACACAGTATGCCTGACGAATAACAGAGATATGAACAGAGGGGTCAACAGAGTTGCCGAGATTACTATGATTACAAGGACTGAGCTTCGGATTTTTCTATATTAGAATCAGAAAACCAGAACTGGTTTAAGACACATCTCTTTTGAATCCATTTTGGTTTGAGTAGTAAATTAACACCAACCTGTCATATTAATGACATGCTCTGGCCCTCAAGGGAAAAATAAAGGTGGAACTAGAATTCTTCCAAGACACGGCAGTTTTGTACCTTAAAAACCATCAAATAACACCAATTTCACTTTTTTTCCAGAGAAAGTATTTTGGGATTAACTGCAAGTAGTTGGTCTATTGAAGAGTGTTAATGTTTTAGTTAAAGCCATTTGAAGACTTCAACCTGAGTTATTACATGGCCTGACAATATTCTCCAGCATTGTCAGTACTAGAAGAACAAGAAAAGCCAGTGAAAATAAGAGTTGAGTCACTTTCATTCTCAACGTGAGACGGAGACCTGCACTTGGGTTAAAATTTGGCACAGCTACAGGCTGGGCAGAGAAGAGATTCAGAGTACCCCTGCGGAGAAGGACTTGGGGGTGCTGGTTGATGAGAAAATGAACATGAGCCAGCAGTGTGTGCTTGCAGCCCAGAAAGCCAACCGTATCCTGGGCTGCATCAGAAGGAGTGTGACTAGCAGGTAAAAGGAGGTGATCCTGCCCCTCTACTCTGCTCTCGTGAGACCTCACTTGGAGTACTGTGTGCAGTTCTGGTGTCCTCAACATAAAAAGGACATGGAACTGTTGGAACAAGTCCAGAGGAGGGCCACGAGAATGATCAGGGGACTGGAGCACCTCCCATATGAAGATCGGCTGAGAAAGTTGGGGATGTTCAGCCTGGAGAAGAGAAGGCTGCGTGGAGACCTCATAGCAGCCTTCCAGTGTCTGAAGGGGGCCTATAGGGATGCTGGGGAGGGACTCTTCATTAGGGACTGTAGTGATAGGACAAGGGGCAATGGGTTCAAACTTAAACAGGGGAAGTTTAGATTGGAATAAGGAGGAAATTCTTTCCTGTTAGGGTGGTTAGGCACTGGAATGGGTTGCCCAGGGAGGTTGTGAATGCTCCATCCCTGGCAGTGTTCAAGGCCAGGTTGGACAAGGCCTTAGGTTGACATGGTTTAGTGCGAGGTGTCCCTGCCCATGGCAGGGGGGTTGGAACTTGATGATCTTAAGGTCCTTTCCAACCCCAACTGTTCTATGATTCTATGAAAATTCAGACATACATTTCTCTATGCTGACAAGCTGGTCTATCAGAGGTAAGGTATCTTTCAAAAGTACCAAAAGTCACACTGTCTAGCAATGTCAGCATTAGTCTCCATTAGTCAGCCCATAGAAACACAAGTATTGCAGTGCAGAAGTCAAGCGTGGGGTTTGCCCTAGTGTGATCCATGCACAACTTAAATGTTTTGAATAAATTCCCAGGATAGTGCAAACACGGAGAAGATTTTGCACAAACGGATTGTATTCTTGTTGCAGAATTTTCCTTGCATACAATGGATCATCTATGCTGGTAAGGAAAGAGAAGACAATGCCTCCTGTCCCATGCTCCCTCCTCACTGTGCCTAGTGGAGGAAGCTTTACTATAGACCCATAGTGGTCTGTGTTTATTCCAGCTATTTCCTTCTGCCTTTAAAATCTGCATTTATAAGGCAGAGTCACATAGCCTTGGTTTCTGGCCTTTCACAATGCAGAGTTAAAAGGCAAACTCTTCTCTGATGTTCAAATGAGTGTATCCTTCTGAAAAGCTTCATCACAAAGAAGTTTGAAAAAATTATCCTGATGGTCCTATTACAAAGCAGTGTATTTTGGTGTCTGGCAGAGAACAAAGCAAATGCAAAGATACCCCTTCTTATCACTCACTAATCTGGACAAAAGGAAAGTGATGAGGAAGAAAATAAATGGGCACTGAAAAGAGTAGCAGCATATCTTTCATTCATTTTATTTGCCTCTTTCTTAATGACTGTGGTAAACACTGGGTTTTTTCCTGAGTAGACTTTGTCATTTACAGTCTGCTCTAGTTGCTTTCTTTCTGAAAGAAACATAAGGGCAGTGGGGAAAGAAGTGGGGAGAGCTTTGCCTTCTTCCACTATAATGCCAATGCTGTAGACGTTAACAGGTTGCATGGTCCATCCCTTTTGGGAAGAGGATCAGACACAAAATGAGTCCTTTCTTGAATGAGCATTTACAGAAACCTACA